CAGGAGGGATTGCACTAGATGACCTTTAAAGATCTCTTCCAACCCAAAGCATGATCTTCAGTGATTGGCATTTTTTTTTCCAATTCATTATGGCCATGGAATGAATTCTCAGCTTAAGGTCACTAATACCCAAAGTTAATTCTGGTGGCCTTCCTGAATAAGGGCAGTGAAAGGTGTAGGATAACACTGAATATGAACCTCAAATCAAACACACTGTTTCCATTATTTTTAGAGTAAGAAATCCATTCTCCTTGGTAGATGCCTTCTTTTGCTTGTCTGGCTCAGGGATGGTGACTCAACCACTTCACTGGGCAGCCTGTTTCAGTGCTTGACAAAAATTTTATTTTTATTCTTTAGTTGATTCAATGTTTCATGTCAAGCTTAACCTTATTTGCACATACAATGAGATGACACACATCTTAAAGAAGGGAGCAAAGCTGAGTGTTGGTAGGTAGGTAACCTGGAACAAGTTGCCCAGAGAAGCTGTGGATGCCCTGCTGCTGGAGATTCAAGGCCAGGTTGGATGGGGGTCTGAGCAACATGGTCTAGTGAAAGGTGTCCCTGCCTATGGCAGCAGGGTTGGAACTATATGATCTTTGTGTCCCTCCCAACCCAAACCATTTTGTGATTCTAAGTAATAACTTTAAATTGTGCTGACACATAGGGAACCTTTATGTTCATGAGCATGAAAGAGTAAAGAAATGCTCCAAGATCTTATGCTGAGTAGAGGCTGCCCCCACCTTGTCACCAGCTCCTGGCTGCTATTAGCTGTGTATGGTGCATTTAATGCCTGCTCTGTCCTTCCCTGGCAGTGCAAGCACGGCAGCTCACCAGCAAAGCTGTTGGGGAAAACAGTGCTGCATCACTTGGACTTATCACAAAAGGTGGTGAGGAATGGGACTCTAAACTGAGTGCTGATTTCTATAATCTAACCTTCCTCTATAATTTAGGCTGCTTTGGATTAGCTTAAATAACCTCATTCATGCGATGATAGTTGTGTTCTGTACCTTCTGGCTCCATCTGGCTCCATCTGTGCTGTCTGTTGAACCAAGAGCTCTTCCTGTCTTGCAAGAAAAACAAGTGGACAGGTGTGTCAAAATTTTTTGGTGGGCTGAGTAGGACCTTCCTTCACTTTTCTTTAATGAAGAACCCTGAAGAATTATTTAAGCATGCATTGTAATACCAGAATTAACAGGTTATTTGAGCTTTTTTAGCTAGTATTTTCCTTGCTGAGTTTTTTACCCAGCTTCTGTGTCTCTTATCATGGTAAAGTCCATTTAGATGCCATGCACTTGCATGAAGAGATTGGCTAGAGAGGTAAACTGCAGAGAGAGGGCAGGGAAGGAGCAGGGAGGCACAACCTCTGGCACTGCTGGATGTGAAAAGTGCATTTGACTGCATGAAATCATGGCCAAATCAGATCCTTTGCCCTCATTTTCATATCTTCACAGCAGAAGAAATATAACTCATCCATGGATTTTATTTTTTTTTTTTGACAATGCTTGATTAATTCCTGTTTAATTATAAAGTCACACACCTCAGCTTCCCTCAAAATATATCCTCGAAACTCAGGAATGAGTTTTGAGGATATATTCAATCCTTCTATAGGTAATTTTTCAAAATCTGGAGCTGCTTGCCTTATTGTTTTATTTTTAATTTCATCATTAATCTCAGTTCTTCTCTGTTTTAAATAGGGACAGATTTTTCCCTTTGGTGCCACCTCTCTCTCATCTGCTTATTCATCCCACCTGTTTGGAGTGCTGCTGCTCCCTGCAGAGAGAAGTCACTAAAGCTGAACTTTCATCTGAACTCTCTCAAAGCTCTTCACCGAGGAGCCCCCTGCCTTGCCGTGGGGTGTTGTCTTACCTCCTGTGGTCCCTCTACCATTTCTCAGCCACTTGTTTAGAGAAGGACGCAGTGCCATCTGCTATTTTTTCCTAATGGCAAGGAAATATCTTGAACTAATTCCATGGAGCTTTTTATAGAGCTAAGATTGTGATGGTCCTAATATGCTGAACTGGAAGTTTAACAGCAGGGGCTGCCCTTACTCGATCTGTTTGGGGCTGGTTACTATATACACAAATGAGGGACCAACTCAAGCTGGCTGTGTCAAGGATGAACACTTGCAGGGCTACAGGCTTTGGTTTCCTTTTTATTTTTGTTGGGCTGTTTGATTTTTTGTTTTGTTGGGTTTTGGGGTTTTTCACTGCTGTCTAGTTTGGGGGCTTTTTTGTTCGGTTTTTTGGGGGGTTTTTTGTTTGTTTTTGTTTTTTGTTGTTTGTTTAGGGTTTTTCATTTAGGTTTTTTTTGTTGTTGTTGTTGTTTTGGGGTTTTTTTTGTTATGTTTTTCTTTTGTGGGATATATAATTATCCACTATTGTAATAACATTTGCCAAGCAATAAATTCTTCAAGTTCTTATCCAGGCAAAGCTGCTGATTTTTAACAAACCTGGACTTGTACAATTTTCACTATACAGATGCACAATACAAATACAAAGTGTTTTTCCTTAACTCTTGTGTGTGAAAATCAAAAAATCTAATGCAAATCAAAACAGCTTTGTGCCTGAATTAGTACTCAGACTCTTGATGACATCACTAAAACCATAGTGGAAATATCAGATGGTTACCAAAAGGTAAATTTCAATGTCACTGGAGACAGTGGGCTTTTTTGCCTTAGACTGCAAAAAATATATTCCATATTTTTTTCTCAAGTTTATCTTTAAGAGGGCTCTTGCATATTTGGCATTGTGCTTTTACTGAAGTTTTATTTCTTGCCTCTTTTTTTTTCCATTTATAGAATGAGTTTAGGTACAAAAGGTATAGTTTTGAGACCTCCAGTTTCACTGAGATTTAATCAACATCTGTGTGCTGCAGTGTGTCACATCTAAAAGCTCAGCAGGTTTGTCCAAGTAAGAACTGCAGAATTTAATCCTGAGCCACTAATAATATTTATTTTTAAAAAATCAAATGAGCTCCAATGTCTATCATCACATCTTTTAAGTGCTGGCTGGAGCTATAAATGGGCTGTATATTCACTGTATACTTATCTGCTGTTTCTTGCTGTGCACCTGCTTCACAGGTGTGCTGAGCTGTCCATCTCATAGTTAGGAATAGGATGCTGATTTGGCTCTGTAGAAGTTTAAAAGGATTGTAATATGGATGTTTAACAAACATCTTCAGTCACAAGTGATCATTAAGTCCTTACTGGCTCACAAAAGAGGGAACTCCTGACAATGTACGCATCATGATTTCTTTACGACATCAAAATTAGTTCCTAGTTTTAGTCCGCAGAAGCACCAATTAGAGACATGAATCAAAGCCTGGCTCTTTGAAGGGAGATACTTGGCTTTTTTTTATTTTATCAGAGGGACAGCTGAATCTTAGCATATTTCCTCAGCTTCACCTATTTTATCAGTGTGTTTTGTGAAGGTGGGAGTCCAGAAGGCCCAGGAGCTTGGTGCCAGGGAGGAAGTCAGCCCTGGCAAACCTTTTGTTGTGCCCCTGCCTCTGCAGTCACGCAATGTGCCTGTAGTATGCTAGGAATGGCCCAGAAAAAGCAGAATTACGTTATCTGGAAAGTACCAGTAATGCTTAAAGCTATGAAAGATTTGCCTGGCAGCTTTTGTAAGGCTATTCAGAAAAGATATTTTGGGATAGCTATTACATCAAAGTTAAAATGATTCCCTGCCAGCACCACCAAAAGATGAAGGGTTACTTTATGCATTTCATACCAGTGATGGGACCCACAAATGCTTTGTTGTCCTCTTCTCCTCCCAGGACATGGTTCCAGGCCTCCATTTTCATGCCAATTGGTCAAAACCACAATTGTTTTAAAAGCTCTTTAAGGACTGCAATTGCAGCAGTGCAGTACAGACAGAAGCTCAGAGGAGGGGGAGCTGTGCAGTGTAGGAAATTTTCTTCAAGTGAAATGTATGCCATGAGTAACAATATTGTGCCACAGAGCACAGGCTAATCCACTGCTGCAGCAGTAGCAATCCTGGACAGTTACATCTGGTGTTCCAAACCTGGTTTTGTGTCCCTTGTTCATCTTCTCTTCCACCCCAGAGCTCCAGCCTTCCTGCCTGAATACTTGTTTTCACTGGCAGGTGCTCTGCCTTTCTGCTCCTGTGTTCTTGGGAGGTAGGGAGTGATGCTCACACCTGTCTGAGTGTTCGTGACCTGCTCTGAGTGAAGCCTCTCTGGGGGGAAATTATTACTCAATTATCTCCCCAGCAACTGTGCCATTGTGTGGATATTTTTATGTTGTTTGTCCTTCTGGTCAAACACTGAAATGTACTGCTAAGATTGCAAGGAATTCTCTCCAGCTTGTTTCAAATGGAAATAGTTATTATGGATGTTATGCAGTAAATGTTTTGCTAGGCAGTTATCCACACATGAGCAATGAAATTCAATGAGAAGAATAATTAGTCTTAATCAAGAAAAAAAGTCTTACTTTGGTTTTAATTATCACTTCTGCAATGCAGCTCTTCTAAAAGAACATTGTTAGTGCTAGTGCCATGTAAGTTAAACAGTAAAGCTCTCCACTGATGAAGTGGCTTCCCCTGTATGTGTTTCAGGGGGCAGTGAGCAGCCTGAGGTGCCTGCCCATTGCTGAGGGATGTCATTCTCTCTCAGCTGTTGGTCCTCCTGCTGTGCACTCACAGAAGGATCAATTGCAAAGCCACTTGTGATGGGGTTTTTCAGTCCTCACTGACTAGATTCTTCAATGTCACACAGGCAATGGGGACGATGTGAGCACAGAAATGTGCTCTCAAATAACAAGTTTTCCCAAACCTTTTTGAGTGCAGTCTTTGCTCTTCTGTATCACTCATGTGCTTGTGTCAAACCGACAATGGAAACCTTTCATCATCTTGGCAGGGAGGTTTCATTTCACAGAATCACTAGGTTGGAAGAGACTTTCAAGATCATTGAGTCCAACCCATGCCCTAAACCCTCAATTAAACCATGGCACCAAGTTCCACATCCAATTTTTATTTAAACACATCCAGGGATGGTGACTCCACCATGTCCCCAGGCAGACAATTTGGCTAGTAGCTAGCACTGTAGTTGTCATCCATCTAATAGTCCAACCATCAGGTGATATAATTTCCTATGCTTGTAGAACACCATTCTTCCAGTCCAATGCAGGAGAAAGTACATCTGAGCCATTCCTGGCAGACATTTGACTAACCTGCTTTTCAAGACCTGCCAAGAGGTGCAGTCTTCATTTTACTGAGGTCTGTGAGGAGCAGAGTGTCACAGGTGCTAGGTGCAAGGGGGAAAGCAGGTTTGCACAGTTTGCCTTTGTGCAGCCTCTGGTCGAAGCTCCAAGTCAGATGATTGCACAGCTGTAGCACAAACTCTGGGGATACTCCAAATCCCATTAAACCAAATAATATTAAATTGAAAAATATATGCAAGCACATTGCTGAATGACAACCACAACTGTGTTTGAGCATGAGGTGGCATTACTTGACACCTTTCCATATCCTTGGTACCTCACTAGACTGAGACTTACATGGCAAGAAGTTGCTCCAACCTTTTATGAGCCAACAAGTTCCACTGTTGAGTGCCCTCTGAGTTAAACTGTGCTTCTTAGCAAGATTAAAGGGCAAATGCTCATTTAATGAGGAAAAAAATAGCATAGGTAGGCAGACACCCTAGTCCCATCCCCACGACATTTCAAAATGTTTGTAAACTGAAAGGTGTGAGTGTGTGACTCACATGGCGGCACACACACATATTGCAGCCATCTATGCTGAAGGAGGACCACATGGAAGAGAACTGCTTTGGCATGTTGTTTTTTCCAAACCATATCACTATGAAGACCGGACAAGAATGTACTTACTCCTCAAAACTGGAATGAGGGCCTGCAAACAGAGCTATATCCAGCAAAGTTTTATAGACTCAGAATTATCTCCAGCATCTGTGCAGGAAACATGAGAAAGGACATTCATGCAGTGATTTAAGATGTCGTTAATGAGGATAAGGTTGCCTCTTCCAACTCTTTTCAGCTTTCCCATGCACATTCAAGCTATTCCATAATTTTAAGCCCTTCTTTTGAACACCAAATTGTCATGGGCTCTCTTCTAAAGGCTACAGCCTGATGGGTCTCATGAGCTCTGATGCACCTGTACAAGCAGGAAGACTTGTCTAAGAGCATCCTCTTAGAGTGGCCATTCTTCTGCAGAAAGTCATGTCCCTGCTTTGTGTGTGGTCTGACTAGAAAAACATTTCTCTGCTGCTTGACTTATGTGAGAATTCAGGACCAGATAGACATTGCCTTAATTCTTGGTGACAAAATGCATCTTTCTAAGAGCAACGTTGCTGGCATGACTCTTCCTAGGACCAGGACAGCAATAACCAAAGCAGTATAAAATCCCTTTAAAAAAACAGCACTTTCAATTTTTTTAATTTTTATGACAAAACAAATATAGCCTCAGTTGTCAGTTGAAGGGGATAATTTCTACAAAAGCACTTCTTATCTTGCAGTGTATTAAAGGTTTTCTCCTGCACTTCTAGCTTAACATCTGGCTATGCTGCTCTGAAGAAGAAGCTCCTTTAATAAGGAGCTTTGTTGGGTCTTAAATACAGCTCCAAAACTATCAGAATTATTATCTTCTACTTTAGAAATATGTAATAAACAACAGAAGCAAAACTTGCATACATCTAGGCTTGTGGCATGTAATATTTATCTTTTCATTTAAATTCAGCAGTAAGTAATAATGCCATATTGCTTAGGAGAATGCCTTGGCAGTGTTTGCAAATCATTCTTCCTAAATGTAACAGATATCCATGGTCCAACAGATATGTATAGTCCAACAAATTGTAAGTCAATCTTCAGGTTCAGTGAAAGGCAATATCCTGAAAGAAAAATCACTTTGGCAGTTTGTGATCAGCAACTTGAGTTACAGTCTTGTTACTCTCAGCATCACACTGTTTCACTTAAGAAACATGACCACATATTTTTAAAGTGAGGACTGGTTTTTTATTTCATTGCAGAAGCCAAGTTAAAAATCATAAAGATAGTAAGAGAGCAACAGCCTGCCTCATCCAGAGGAGGAAAAATCAGAAAGTAGCTGTTACTTTTTAGAAGGAAACAATTATATATAAATATCATATCATATCATATCATATCATATATATTTATAATGGTTTATATAATATATATAATACCAATTATAACATTATAACAGGCTGATAGTTGTTTATTAAGGGACTTCTGTACTTATTGCATTGCTCTGATCTCTGGATACAAATGTGGTATTAATTTTTTCCACTGTGAGTACTGATTTATCAGAAACATTGAAATGCCTAGTGTTCCCTGTCCCTGGAAACATCCCTTTCCTATACTTAGAGCTCTAAAGCATTGCTGAAAGGTGGGACTGAAGTGAAGCAAAGGCCAGGGGTTGTCTCACTTTGTGTCTCCCCCAGAGACAGGAAGGAAGAGGTGGTGGCCCTGCAGACTCTGCTCTTGCTGTGTGCCTGGCTTGGCTGAGTACCTGGGATTAAGCCAAACATTTCCCATCAGGTTCAGGGAGAACCTGTTCGGGTTTTTATCCAGGGGTACAATGACAGTAGTTGAACACAGGCCTAAAACAATAGGCCTTTTGGCAAAGCCAAAATAGCTCAGGAAAAAGCATTTAGGAAACCCTTTATCCCTCAGCCCTAGGCAGAGAAGGCAGGGCTGGGCTGGAGCCAGCTAAAACACACCTCATAGCGTGTGCCAGGCGAGAGCAAAGATCGGGAGAGATCTTTGAGACATCTTTCCCACCATGTCACTCAGAGCCAGACAGGTTATTTCTGAACTGCTGTCTTCAGGTGCTAATTAGCTCAGGCTTAGTTTCAAATGAGCCATGAGACCCTCTTAAGCATCAAAATTCCAGTCTCTCGATCCTAGGTCTGACCTACTCAGCTCTCCATGAGGCAGGAGGGGACAGCCTGAATGAGCACCTGAGATTCATCCCACTGGCTCAAGGGGCTTTCCACAGCATGGAGCCATCAGCAATCCAGGTCTTGGGGAGCTTCACAGAGTAGCACCCATCTATTCACCCAACTTCACAGCAAGAAGGGGATGCCCTGGGTGCTCCTACCACTGCAAGCAGGAAGTTTTTGCTCCCCGTGTCTGCGCCTGCCTCTCCACCCACCTCCCAGGTTTAAGGTGGCCCTGGCACTCTCTGGCTGTGACATCACTGAGCTTGGTAATCCTCTCCCCACAGGAGGGGAGTCTTCTCCTGGAGAGTGTTTGTGTGTGCCAGTGGCCGACCAGCACCCAAGGACAAGAAAACAGTGGCACTGTGTAGGAAGCAGTGGGAAGAGGAATAGAAGATGAACCACATTCTCATTTCCATTAACGGTTTGTGCTGACACAGAGGTTCCCACCCTACTAAGAGTCCTGCAGCTGCCTCACTTATATCAGTCAACGGGGTATTCACACACCAGGAATGAAGCCTGTGGCTTGTCCTGTGCAGGAGTGCTGCAGCTCCTTTGCCAGCCATATTCAGTACACTAATACAACACATTGACAGCAATAGAGATGTTGAGAAGTCATCTCATCTCACTTGTCCATTTCTTCCCCATCCTCCCTCTCACTCTGCTTTGTTCCCAGAATACTCCTCATTTCTTGGCTAGAAAAGTCCACTGGCACAGTTTCACATGAGCAAAGACTCCTTTCACAGAACAGTGGCTTTTCTAATCTTACCCTCTCCCTGCTTTAAAGGCCTGCATTTTGACATCTAACTAGGTCCTAATCATTTGCCATGTCTAGTGTGACATTTCTAGTGCAAGAGGACAGTGGCTAAGGCAGGCTGCCTTTTCTGCTGGGCTGCTGGACCAGTCATACCACCTCACCCAGGTGTCTTGAGACTCCAGGCACCAGGACTACTGGTTCTATATAGAAAGATAACTATAGTTTCCTGATGGAAAGCCATAACTAAAACTTGTCAAAATGTAATTTAAAAAACCTGAAAGGGCACTATTTATTGTACCTACAACGCAACCTGGACACAGCGGACCAGAGACTCTGGCCCTCCCAAGTCAGTTGAATTGGTACCTCAGCAACTGCATTAATTCATTTTCACTTTCTACTGTAAATAACTTCTTACTGGATCACAACAGTGTTTAGTTTTCCTCAGTAGTGACCACATCTGTTTGCCTGCAAAGCACTCAGCACAGTGAGCTTGCCACAGCCAAGTGTCCTTTCACTCCATGCAGCTGTCACATCTGGATTTCCTCCTTCAGACAGAGACAATGAGGGAAGCAATGAATCTTTTCAATTACAGACTTTAATATACATGTGCTGTAGCACCTCTGATTCAAAGCCTCCTGGGCAGTGGGACATGTCTGTGCTGGAATGGAAACACAGTCCTGTTAGAATAAAGCTCACTGTACAAACTAAGCTACCTAATTACACTATTTTATTTCACTAAGCCAGAACCCCACTAAGTCTAATTTGACAAAGGTCACGGTGGTACACGTGTAGCCCATGGCTCAAGCACAGGCAGCTGTAATCATCACATAATGCCTGGCATGTTCAGGTTATGAATGTGCCTACAAGCTTATGTTTGACCTTAGACCCCAGATGTGAACTCCTTTGGATCTGATACGGATGTGATGTAAGTAGTTCCTTCTTCAGTTAAATATAGCCTGGAAAGCATCTGTTTAATAAACTGCATATACATTTAGGGGTCTTCACATTTAAGGTTATTTCTTATTTTAAAAGAACCTGTAAATGCTTATTTCTGTCACAAGGGTGAAACTCCTCCCAAGTAATCTTGAATCCTGGAGCTTCCCAGCCTCCCTCAGCAGAGGACTTTACTGTACAGGAGGATCCTGAAAGCATTGGGAATAACTTGTTTCCTTATCTCAGTGTGCTTCAGATGCATAACCCACGTGGAACAGTCTCACTGTCCCATTCAGTGACTGTTCATACACCTAACAGAAGCAAAGTTTAGGTTGAAATATGTATGTGTAAAATATGTGTGTACATGGACTCCACACACACACACACATTTCTTTAAAAAAGCATTCCACATAATCTTTGAGACACATGAATGAGGGAACAGCATGAAGCTGTGTCAGGAGAGATTTAGGCTGAACATTAGGAGTGGGTTTTTCATGGCAACAAACCTGCCAAATTTCAAGGAATGTTTGGACAATGCACTCAGGCACGTGGTGTGACTCCTGGGGCTGCCCTGTGCAGGACCAACAGTAGGAATTCAATGATCCTTGTGGGTCCCTTCCAGATCAGGATATGCTACGATATCTCACTACAAGCACACCCAAATATCCATATCTTTTAACTGTGACGCTGCATCCCTGTGGTATCAGGAAATACACAGAAGCTGGACACCTGACACAGCCAGGCACACTCCTGACCCTGCTCCCCACACCTCTGAGGAAAGAGGGTATACCATGGCATGGGCCATCCCTGGAAACTGAAACCTGAAGTCAGAAGTACTTTGCAGCCCTGTCATGAGCTCAACTACCAACCTGCCAGTTCAGTGCCAGAGCATTGCCTTTGATATCTGTCAGTGTCAGAGGTGTTAATATCCAATTATAGCAAAAAATGAGCTTTGCAACCAAAGAAAAACTGATGTTGCCTTTCCTTAAGCTGAGAGAGAGAGGTTTTTTTTTTATTTAATCAAATATGAAATATATAAAATCACTGTGAGATGTGTTTTCATTAAATTGAGAATCAGGGTTTTTTTTAATGCATTGCCATTCTTCCAAAGTAAAAGAGACATTACACACAGAAAGCTTTTGCTAATGTATGACTGGGGAAATTAAACTGTCTAGCAATGTCAAAGACTAAAGTTATCTTGATTAATATCTGAAACCTCACTAAGTTTCAGAAACACAATTTACTTGTTGTAATAAATCAGCTGAGACTCCATTTGCTTCATGCAGAAAAAGCCAATTCTTTATTCACACAACTCATTTTATACAATTTTCACAGGCCTCATGTGCAACACCAATTGGCTATTTTCTTACTACTTCATTCATTGGTCAGAAGGTGATTTTGTGTGTATGTGCTAAGGCTCAGGTGCTTACATTTTTCCTTTGTGGGTTCTCATGGGAAAAATCTTACTGTTTACACAGATGCACTTATTTTTCTTCCCAAGAATAGATTGTTGTGCAAAGGAACTCTCATTCCCAAGATTGCTTTGCCTGGGAACTTGAAATCTGCCCTTGAAAGAAGTGACAGGCAAGCTTTGGCTATTTAGCAGAGCAAGGCCTGACTTAATAAGGCCTTGCTTTTATAACATCTTTTACCTGTCTGCAACACATACTTTTCTCCATTTTTATTCCATTTTACACGTCCACTGGCATGGCTTTTTATGCTTGCTTTTTTTCAGTCTGTGGCAAGCTTCTGAGCGAGTTAAAAAGGCTGAGACAAAGAATGGCAGCAGGCATTACCTCCTGCACCTCAGTATACAGGATCCCCCTGCCTCTGTGGGGATTAGATTACTGCTAAGTGAGAAGCCCTGCATGGCCAAAAATACCCTGAGGACAGTCCACTTCCTGACTTCCCAGTTAAGACTTCCCACTTGAACAGCAACAAAAAAATCTGCTACGTGTACCTGTGGACAGTGCTTTTCTGTTCACTCCCCGCCACAGGTTTGGGATGGCCCTGCCTCAGCAAGCTGAGGTGCTTTCACTCACCCAGGAGGAACTGCTGGGCCTCACGAGACTGGAGGTGGAATGTCCTTCTTCAGCAACAGAAACAAAGGTGAAACCAGCCATAATCTCTTCTTCCACGGCCATCACGGAGGCCTCAGCACACTGGGGCTGCCTCCTGCCACCAAGAGGTTTGTCACCTCTCCTGACTGACTGGTAATGGCACTCAAGCTGATGAGGACAAGACAGCAGAGCCTGCTTCCCCAGGAAAGGAGAGTCCATCCAGGGAGAGGAAGTGTGGGGTACGATCCAGTCAGACTTTTTCAAGCTCCACTCTGCTGCCTGGAGGGACACTCAGCCATAGCAGTGATGGAGGTCACCTCATGCTTTCAGCAATCTCCCACAGCTGCTCCCAGCACTGCTTTCCTTGCCCTTCCTGCAAGCACATGGAAATGTATTAATCATATCCTGGCATCATTTCAAATCCTGCTAGGCCAGGCAGCCTGAAACTACTGTTTGGAACATGGTGGCAGTAGGGTAGGAGGCTCCTCCAGAGCTACACACTGCAAGCCTTAGGGAAGAGGATACTGTGAAGGGCTTTGTGCTACACTCAGGCCACTTCTATCTCAAATATGTCCTGAGACATAGTCTTGTACCAGCACAGAGAACTCACTTGCTGACCTCTTGCTCACTGAGCTGCCTCACGAGCTGCTTACCAACAGTATGTATTTCAAGCATGGCCTCAGAAACATCTCTGAAAAGTCACATTCCCTGAGGGACATTGATCTTGCAACATCTATATGCTTAAAGCAAGGAGGGCCCTGCTGCTGGCAGGCATGGCCTTGCCCAGCTGTAGGCATTCTCCAAAGTTATCCATAAGCCCTGTGGGGCACACTGAGAGGTGCCGTCCTCTCCTCCACAGCACTTTTGCCTAAGCTGCAGATCAGATGCCTTTCATAAAGGCAGTGTCTCTGGCACAAACACTGATTTATTAATGTATTCCTGACTTATTGATCTCAAACAATGTCACTCTGTAGGTGTTTCTGCCCCGTAGATGCACCTGCCAGCTCATTTCCCTAAGCACTGGGGACAAGCCTCCCCCAGAAGCCTGGGGTGCTGTCAAGCCTTCAAACCCTACCCCAGAAACGAACTGAGCAGCTCAAGCTGAGCTCCAGTGCTGCAGCATTTTAATGGGTTACTGTTACTGACCTAGCAGTGTTTTTCACAGGCTCGTCTGAAATGAGGGCACTCCCCAGGCTGTTTACACAGTGCTGCTGCTCTTTTCCTTCTGACAGGAGTTTTGATGGGGATTTCTGCCATCCAGAGAATATCTGGGGAAGAATTTTCTGAAGGGAGCAGCTGACTGGCAAGGGATCCAGCCACCTTCAAAGCTGTCATGTGAGATTTTTCACAGGATGCCAGAGAGGGCACTGAAATCATCAAGATCACAGGTTTTCCAGGCATGGATTCCTGGTCATCCTACCTCTAACTATTAACACAAGCATTACTTCACAGTGAATGAACTCTACCCACTCCCCTTGGAGAGATGTGGCATGAGGCTTCTGCAACATTTAATGCTATTTAACCTCTCAGACTGGGCCTTTAATGACACCTAAATGCTGAATTTGTGCTAGACTTTCCAGAGGAAAGTTTGCTTCATCCTGCAGGCCATGAACTTGTAAGAATTCTGGTATAAGCTTAAAAAAAAGTTCTGTTTTGCATATGCATCAGCATACCTGCACATTTGTGTGGATATTCCCATGTGCTGGTATTTGAAAAAACAACCCATTAAGTTTTTGACCAAAGATTTAATGGTATAAATAGAAACATGGGAAGGAATGTTTGGTTTGGGTTTTTTTCCTGCAGTATTTTATTTGCTGCAATAAGCACAACATTAACACTGCAAATGAGGAATGGCAAGTTCCAAGACTGTGAACATACCCCAACAAAGTGTACATATTGCAAGTGTCCATCTGTGCCCCCTCTGCACAGAACAGAATGTATTAAGGATGATCCCTATGGTCCCCTGAGGCTCAAGATGATCTAACCAGTCCTTGTGGCTTGGAAAATCCTTTTAAAAGCCTGCAGATGAGTTAGGAGATACGGTGTCATATCAATGGTGTAGTGAATGTACATATATCTGCCAAAGATGCAGTCTTATTTCAATCGTAGTGAATGTACATATATCTGCCAAAGATGCAGTCTTATTTTCACAGCTGGTTAGGGACTGGAAGGAGTAAAATGGGAAATAGAAGACCTTCTTGATTAATATTTCAGTCGTTTTCTTCCCTTGATTTTTCTCAGCAGTTTCCCAACATCTGTAATCTGTGCAGAAGAAGGAATCCTACACTTACTACGCTCCTGCAGTTTTGGCTAAGAGAGGAACTCAGTAGGCTCTGGGAAGACCATGCACTTCAGGATAGCAATGGGCTATCCGTGCAGATGAACACCTGACTTTCAGCATGTGCTAGCATTACCAATACAGCTACCACTGGGGTTGCTTCCGTGCTTCTGCTGAACCAATGACCCATGGAATGAGGAGGAATAATGCAGGATAAGTTGCCTGCACTTAGCATAGGAAGCTGTCAGCACAAGTAGCACATGACTAAACCTTCCTCAAGATGATAAATAAAAAAAAGCTACTGGCACTGGAGAATTCAAGGCTCCTTAAAAAGAAAAAAAAAAAAAATGAAAGAAAGATAATTGAGGTGAGTGTCCTTGGGAAGCTAAAGGAAAGAATGTAACAACTGGAGGAGGCAAAGCACCACTTGACATATTTGAGGTATTATCAACCTCAAACAATAAGCTAGAAGACTTGTGAAAGGAGGACAGAACAAGAATCCATAGGCACAGGAACTTAAAGGACTAGATCTTCATGAAACTATGAAGTCTCTGCCTTCAGATTGCCCAGAATCTGAGGCTCTTGGCAAGGCCTGCAGGTGAAACCCCTTGGTCTCACACAGAGCGTATCCAGTAGAGCGGGCTGGCAGGAGACACTTTGCAGCTAATCATTTGATTGCCAACTATCCAGTTTCACATCTTTAGTAGCAAACAATGTTGGGACATATTTAAGAGATGACAATATGACATTTCCGACCGCTCTGCTACTCCAAAATATGGAGATGGGTCTGCAAGTATCAAGGAATGGTAGAGTGGCAGAAACCAAACTCCTCTCTACAATGCTCCACTGAAACAAATCAGAAAGAGGACAGACAGAGATCAGCCCATGAAAGACAAGAACCCAAAATGACATGCTGCATCCTCCAGCCTCTCCTTGAAGGATTTTGCTGGAGTTACCTGGGGACCCTGCCTGGTCAAAAGTCAGCACACCCTGCTCAGATCAGGCCATTTGGGGTGCCCATTATGTGTGCCAGTCTGCAGAAAATTTGCCTTCCCCACCAAACAAAAGGAGGAATGCTCTTGGCAGCTGAATAAAAACACTGTGAAACTGTAAGTGCAGGTCTGTATTAAACCTTGTGAGTCAGCATTCATTACTATGTAGGTGAGATCTGGGACTGGGACCTTGCACATGAACACTTAGTCATATGAACATTAAACATGCAGTACCCTGCACTGTTTGCACAAAGAGAAAACAATCAATCCATTTCAAAAGATGACATTTGGTTGTTTGCACACTTCCTCTAGGCAGAGGGGGAGCTGATATTAATGATACTCTTTGATATAAGCATAAACCTACAGGACTGAGAGAGCTGCAGGGACCAAATGGAATTATCCACTGTGCCTGTACTGGCACAGCCTCTTTGCAATGAGCAAGCCCCTCTGCTGCCATAATGTGGTCTTATAAGTTCCTGACAGTCACCACAGAAAAAGTCATATAATGTTGTATTGGCAGGGATAGGGTTAGGCGACATAGCTGTATTCTCTCATTTCTGCAGTTCTAGGAAAATTACTTGCCACTTAAAAAATATTTAACCACAGTGATGTCAAAGCATCTACTGAGATATGTTTCTGCTGCATTTCACTTCCACTAGTAAATACTGAAAGGAAGATTTTAAGAATTCTAACAGATGGATGCAAAATCAATGCAAAACCATTACTTTCTTCCAACTCTTCTTTGACAAATCAACCGACCTTCCTCACTCGTCAATTGATCTGACCCTCTTTTTTTATCTTTTTGCAGATATAAATTAATTCCTGACCACATGAGGACCTATAACCTCAGCTCAGCATTTAGACAAGGTCAAGAGCTCAAAGTGATAAGAGCATCTAAGGGAATGACAAGTTTATAAACATAGTTTGCCACCATTGGGTCCTAAGCGTGATTTGGATACAGTTCTACTCTGAGCTAAATCTGGTCTTGACCCAAACTGAGGGCTTAGAGATCTCCCCTAACCTGGAAATGGCTCATTTTCTTAAGGGTCAATATTCTAAACTCACTGACCAGAAACCCTGAAATTATTTTCTTTGGTGAAAAACAACAACAACAAAAACCAACAAAACAAATAACCAAAACCCCAAAGAAAATCACTAAAATCAAACAGAAACCCACAACCCCAAAATCAAAGCAAAACCCACAGGGAGCATATAAAATTGGACGGACTGAAAGCAGCAATTAAACCACAAAATAAATAGCACCATAAATTCCCTCCTGCAATGACCTTTCCCTAGGTCATCTTTTCACCACCCCTTTCATTAGCCCTGTCCCTGTCCATCACACTATCAAGCACTAGGCCAAAACCTCTCTGTGTGCCCTGGCACAAGCTGGCATGGGAATGATGCAGTTTGCCAAGCCTGCCTCCTTCTGGCTTTATCACCAACTTGCCTCTTGACTCCACAGTGTGCCCGACGTCATTGCTCAGACATCCTCTGTCTGATTTGCTGCAATTGGCAAAGACCTACAAATTCCCCATGAAAACAAGTCCTCCAACTTGTGAGTGTAATGTTACTATCCTTAGTGTCTTCCCAGAATGCTGCAATGTAATGATCTTTTTTTGTATTTGTTTTTCAGTTAATGAGATTAATTGTGGAACAGACATTCGAGAGACCTGTGTTTTCAGATCCAGTCTCCAAAGGGCTTTGCGTGCTGAAGTGTTCAGGTGATCAAGACAAGGCTGCATGTCCAAAAGTTCAGAGGTTAACCCTGGGATGACCAATCCCACATAAATAAAAGTCTTGTAATGCTACAGGGTCTTAGGAGTACTCAAATCCTGTGCTTCATCTTTCTTCTTGTCATCTTCTTGAACTTATTCCTGTCATATAATCTATCGTTTTATAAGAGCTGAGGAGAAGAAGAGCCAAACACGTCTGGGGCTAAAAGCTGTCAAGGGGACTTCAGCAATCTGTTGCCCTCGCAATATCTCGTGAAAGATCTTCCACTTGGCAATCAACTTGCCCATGTAAAAGAAGTGCACACTTTGTGCCATGCAACACAACTTCAAGTGGAGGTCAGATAACTGACATGGTTAACTTCACCTAGCAAGAAATTCTCAGATGAGAAAAATGTCAGGACACACTTAATGGTGTATCAGAGAAGAACTTTTGAGGCGCAGCTTTGTTTAAATTAGGGATTTTAAATGAGTCCATGTACAACATGTGTGTTACTACCTGCACCATTCCTGAGTCTTCCAGCCTATCAAAGTCTTTGCAATGGCTACAAGAGCCATACACATACAGTTTTATAACAGCTCTGATCCATTAATTCCCACTGAGTTTCAGCTGAGTGTCTACAGGGCACAAAAAACCCTGTATAGTAGTCAGAGCAGTTCTCTCAGCCTTATTCAAAGAATGTTCCTAGTTCTGTCACCATTTCATGTTATAGTTTCCAAGCATCTCTGTTGAAAGTTTTACAACCAAAACTGCAGAGCATGAACAGGTAGGGGAGAGATCACTCAGGCCATACTTAACCATTGCTTTTCAGGAAGTTGTAGATGTGAAAAAATTCTTACACTTGTGAGGACTGAGGTGAGAATACACCTGATCAGAACTGAAAAGTCCTGAAAAATGTTTCTGGCTGGGGTTTACTTGGGAGGAAGATCGCAGATAAGAAAAAAAGGTGGTCAAAAATCCTCTCCCCAGATATGCTCAGATTGGTTTTAGATATGGGATAAAATGCAAGACTTAAGAATGCATATTTACCTGGATTTGCAAGGGCATGTAGTAGGACATGGGGCAACAGCTTTAAGCTGAAAGAGACTAGGTTTAGATTGGCTGTTATAAACAAATTCTTCATTGTGAGAGTGGTGAGGCACTGGGACAGATTGCCCAGAGAAGTTGTGGATGTTCCATCATTGGAAGTGTTCAAGGCCAGGTTGTATGAGGCTCTGAACAACCCGGTTTAGTGGAAAGTGTCCCTGCCTTAGGTGAGGGGGCTGGAACTGGAAGATCTTTAAGGTCCCTTCCAACCCAAGTCATTCTATGTATTACTCCACCTAAGACTCACTAAGCACAGTTAGAGGATGTATGAACTGTCTTATGAACACATGATGAGGCAGAAAACTGATCTGAGAAGTAACAATTCTTTAAAAATTCTGCTGGGGCCAACCACAGCTGCACGTATCAGTCTTCAGGCTCATTTCCTTGCTTCCTGACACTTCTGGCGTGCATGTATATGAGTGTAAATGTTTATATTCAAATGTATATAGCTGGTAACAAACTGTTATATATGTATATAGCTGGTAACTAAAAGTTTCCAGAATAAATTAGATCCTGTTACACATGTTACATGACATGATATATGACAGTGTGTGAGATAAAAGGGGAAAATAGGTAAATAATAATTAGACCTTTCAGTCTGACTTCAGTTCCAGGCACTAAGCAAATACACACTCTTTGTGTACACCAAAATCTACCAACAGCTGAACAATATCCAGAATGGATTTGATAAATTGTGTGAAACCAAATAATTTTTCCTTCTGCCCCTGTGTAGTAGATTTTGTGAACAGCAATAAATATTGACGTTATTACACTTTGCTTCTTTCTATCAGACTAGAGAGTCATAGCATAAATTAACTTTCAGCAACACACATGCAAAACCAGAAAACATTTCTGAATAATGCAACTGAGGCTGATATTCTGTCGGAACAGAAGAATAAATCAGAGAGAGTTTCTTGCACTCTTTTCTTGAACTCTCTATACTTTGACATATCTTGGACTCCAGAGTAGATAAGGTACTTCTTAACTGTACAGGTAATGTCAGACTAAAAGGAATTCCTGGAATGCTTTGGGAAAGAGACTTAGAAACATCATAAGTTAGTCTTATGAGGAGCAGCTGAGGGAGTTGCAGTTTATCCTGGAGAGAAGGAAGCTCAGAGGAGACCTTGCTCTCTACCACCACCTGACAGGAGGCTGTAACCAGGTGGGGCTTGGTTGGCAACCAGTGACAGGATGAGAGGACACAGCCTCAAGCTGAACCATGGGAGGTTCAGGTTCGACCTCTGGAAGAATTCTTCACTGAAAGGGTAGTTAAGCATTGGAATGGGCTGCTCAGCTGGGTGGTGGAGTCATCATCCCTGAGGTTCTTCAAGTGGATGTGACTCTCAGTGCCATGATCTAGCTGACATGATGGTGTTCAGCCAAAGGTTGGACTCAACGGTCTCAGAGATCATTTCCAGCCTAAACGATTCTGTGGTTCTGTGATTCTGTCTGCTTAAATGAAAGAAGTGACCTGGAGGAATGATAACTGATGAAGGTAAAACACGTATTTGCAGAGCCTCTGCAGTTACTCATTCTGACAACTTACGGATAAGCAAAGGGCTTAATTTTCTGTGAACATATGTGGGAATTAAAGGCAAAGAGAAGTGCAATGTCACTTCCTGCATCTCATAATGATCATATTAATGGAAGTGAAAACAGCCTAGGATCCTGCAGCAAGATGAAAAATGTTCACAGTGCCCATATTTAGGGCTTGTGGCATGGTGTTTATAATTATAACTATCAATAAACTCCAGATAGGTAACTTACTTGGATGGTTGATGACAACTGCAGAGGGTATCTGATTTTTGAACTGAGAATGAAATGTTAAAGAGGCTCCAAACAGTCTTCACAGAAAAAGTAACACTAGCAGCAGCAATCATATTCTTTACCATCCCTGACCATACTAACCTCTTAAAAAAGCAACAGATAGAGTGAGACTTCAGAATAAAAACATACATGGAATTGAACTTAGCATTCAAAGATTGTACGAACATGCCAAAACTATTAAATCTTTCCTTGCAGCAGTGAGAACAGAAAGGTTTGTTCCACTGGCTCCTGGCCAGGTCAGTTCACCATCAGCCAAGGGGAGAGAATAACCAGAGCAACCTGCCAGCAGCGTCCTGTGCAGTCCCAGCACACGCAAGAACTGTAACAGCTGCCACTGGAAAACAAAGTGGCTGCATTTATCAAGAATAGTGCGGGAATTCAAAGTCCCTAACAAAGACTCTGAGAAATGTATAGCATTCAAATTTGTAATGTAGAAGCATGTGCTATGATGACACCTTCCTTAATTAAGGTAAGGAGCTTCCATTTAGCACCACAACTACAAAGCCAGAAATGTTCCCAAAGAGACTCGTGCACAGGGAGAGATGTTTTTAGGCACTGCACGTTTGTCACCTGATGTTGTCTGTGCTGCCGTAGTTTGTGACCTATATAATGCTACAAAAGGCACCAGTTCTCTGTCCATGGCATAGCTTCACAAAAATGCATGTCTAGCAGATACACATATATTTATTATATATTATACATTGCTTATCAGTTACACATTTACTATGTAAGCGTGTCACTGATATATTACAGTCTGAATAGACTAAAAACAGCTGGGTTTACTCCTTCACCCTTCCCGGAGAAAGTCATCTAGTGCCAGTGACCAATTTTTCCAGATCATCATGGAGATATGGGGATTCACAGATGCTGTGCTAAATCCTGTATTTTTTTTCCTCAGACCTTCAGAAAGTATGATGTAATAGCTAAAAATTAAGCAGTGTTTTGGATATCACCACTTTTAAACACAGGAAACTATACTGGCTAATCAGGTAATAGCTGGCTGATGACTTTCAGAAAATTATTAAAGGTTACTTTTGATTCCTGTGAACACAGCATGTACACGTGCTGGTGTGTATCCTCATCCTCAGGGCAAAAAAAAGGTACTTGCTCAAAAGTCAAGTTTTTAATTTAGAGGGAAAGTTGAACTTTTAGAACAAATAAGTGTGTCTCCAGACTAGAACAAACAAACAAACAATTTTTTTATAGTCCTGTATTAAAAAGAAAAAAAAATGTTTCTGATCCTAATGTCCTTAAGCTGTTATTTATTTTACACTGAAATACAGACTCCCCCCTACATATGATTTATACATGCCTCTGAACATATCTATTCCAACAAAAGATTAATGCAAAAGGTCATCTCTGTTGTTCCCATTGTGTGTTAATCTAAGTCTCTGGTATGAAATGCTGTATTTATAATCCAAAGAAAAGAACAGAGATTGTCTGATGTGCTACTGAAAGTTATCAGGTCCCAGGTTTAGACAGGGGATAATGTCATTGTTTGATAAACAGCCACTGTTTCTTCAAACCCAGCTGCCTTTGGCATATCAAATCTGTCAGAGGTGCTTACAGCAGTGCATAGGTTATTATAACACTCAACATATATTCCCATTGAGAAATGGCAAATCACATACCTTCAATGATTTTCATATTTGGTGACAGATTACTATGCACTATATTGTTTCCAGAATAAACTTCTATTTCCAGGAGTGATGTAAGGTTAGAGTTATGAAACGACACCATGTTCCTAAGAAACCGTGTTTTCTTAGATGTTAAATTAAAAACATTGATCCAGAAGTTCAGAAAAAGTTCATAATTGAGTTTTTTGGGGGAGCTCTAACTTAAAATATTAATTAATATTTAAGTGTGTAAAAAAAAATCATAAGGATTTTCAATATTCCTGGAAGGGAATACAATTGAATTTCAGAATAGTTATTCAGCACACTTGAAAATCAACAAGAATCTATTTAAATGCCTCCCTAAATCCAGAAAGACCTGATTTGGAATAGTTTGATATGAGAATTGATTTATGATGCCAAATTAAAAACAAATTCATTCTCATGTTAATTAATGCATTTTATTAGATATGCAGAACTCAATAAAACCCAGAATTTATCCATCATAAAGAATTTACCCATGAGTTGGAATCTAATAAATGCATTTATAATTTAACTGCCTAGCCTTTGATATACCAGCAATGCTTGGGGTCATTATCTCCCAAGAAAGAAAGTTATAGCAGGAAAAATGTGGCAAAAATGTACTGGTACAACCCTATTGGCACAAACCAGAGGATTAAAGAATGACAGGGTCTCTCCTTTCTCACACATTCATTCTATCACAGAATCACAGAATGCTTTGGGTTGGAAGGGACCTTAAGGGTCATCTAGTTCCAGCCCTTCTGCTGTGAGGAGGGACACCTTCCACTAGATGAGGCTGCTCAGGGCCCCATCCAACCTGGCATTTGCATTGTTCTCAACTCTGCTGGGCATTAGCTACCCTACCTCAAAGGCTGTGCTTATGCACAGAAGAGTTTCAAGTGTGGAAAGGAGACTGAGACCAAGAAAATGAACAGAGAAAATAGGAAGTAAACTGGTAGCAGCTTGCTGTATGCAGAAAGCATAAGAAAGTAGTTTTCCAGTGGAAGTGGTTACACATGGGTAGATTTAATGGGACACATGTTCCTCAAGGACTGCTCTGGAGATAGTATGTGAGTAAAGCAAGACAAACACAGCAGGTGGACTGAAGAGGGAGGAAAAATTAAAAAAGAAAGAGAATGCAAAAAGCGGACCAAGAAGGGAACAAAACAGCACCAAAAATATAAACTATACCAGAGCACATAAACATCCTTTAGGTATAGAAACGGAAGCAGTAATGAAAAACCCAGAAGTCAATATGAAGAAAGCTTTTCTTAAACTTCTTGCATGCCTGCTTTCTAGGTTGGGGTGGTAACTACTTTGGGACAACAAATCTTCTCAGCCCTCTTTTGCCAAGTATCTTATTTACAACGGCTTAACTGGTGGGAACTACTAATCAGAATAGTGTGATCTCCAATCAAGATAAATTAATCCAACATTTCCCTAGTCTGCTGGACTCCCCAGATGTGAGCTATGGCTCCAGGAGCAGCCGCCTGGGCACCATCTGTGGTTCAGCTCCCAGTGGAAGGTGCACAACTCATGCAGGCTGTGCCAGCAACTTTCACTCAGCTTAACGCTTCTGCATCTCACTTTAGCTTGACATCTTTTAGGCAAGGTAGAAATCCAGACAACTAAATCACCATGTAAATCTTCCAGGTTCTCCACTTCTGTCTTTCACATCTATTGCATAATGTCTGGACTGGGAATTGG